GGATTGGATAGTGGAGGATTGAATAGTAGAGGATTAAATTGTGGAGGATTGGATAGTAGAGGATTAGATAGTGGAGGATTAGATAGTGGAGGATTTGATAGTTGAGGATTGGATAGTGGAGAATTGAATAGTAGAGGATTGGATAGTGGAGGATTGGATAGTGGAGGATTAGATAGTGGAGGATTAAATAATGGAGGATTTGAAAGTGGAGGATTGAATAGCGGAGGATTGAATAGTAGAGGATTGGATAGTGTAGTATTGGATAGTGGAGGTTTAGATAACGGAGGATTAAATAATGGAGGATTTGATTGTGGAGGATTGGAAAGTGGAGGGTTGTATAGTGGAGGATTAAATAGTGGAGGATTGGATATTGGAGGATTGGAAAATGGAGGATTAGATTTAAGAGGATTAGACAGTGGTGGATTATAAAGTGAAGGATTATGAAGTATAGAAGTGGATAGTGGAGGATTGGAGAGTGGAAGATTGGTAAGTGGAGGATTGGATAATGAAGGATTTCATAGTGGAGGAATGGATAGTGGAGGGTTGGAAAGTGGAGGATTGAATAGGGGAGGATTATAATGTGGAGGATTGGATAGTATAGGATTGGAGAGTGGAGGATTGAGTAGTGGAGGATTGAGTAGTAGAGGATTGGATATTAGAGGATTAGAGAGTGAAGGATTGAATAGTGGAGGATTAAATAGTGGAGAATTGAATAATGGAGGATTGAATAGTGGAGGATTAGATGGACAAACTGGATTATAAAATATTTTAGAATGAAATCAAAACTATTGGTTTCTTTACATTTACACATTTCTGGTCCTGCTGTTTATTCGATTAAAAAGATGAATGAATGAGTTGATGAAAAAATGCTAAAAATTTCTAAAAATAAATGAAAAATGCAAATATATAAATATATATGTATACAAATATACAAATGAAATAGAAACTTGCCAAGTTCCCACAAGATGGTCAAGCGAAGAATGTTGCAATTTTATCTGATCTATTATA